GGCGCCGGGGCTGTTTCGGGGTCCCATGCGGCTTGCCGCCTCGAACAGGCCCAAGAGTGGCCAGTGGCCGCCTGCCCGACCAACCGTGCTGGCTGCTCTTCTGCCTTCCGAATCCTACCTGGAAAACCACGGCGTTTCCCACCCACGGAGCCCCCAAAATAGGCACTATCTCATTTCATCCTGACACAGGCCTGTTGAGCCGGGCCTGGCCTGACAGGGAACTGAGCGAGCCGGGCCCTGCCCTGGGCCCAGTGCTCTGCAGGTCTGGCGGGGCCAGGGCATGTTGCTCGCCTTGCTTTGAGTAGGGCAGATACGACGAGGTTCTTGGGGTTTTGGAAGGGGAGAGGGTAAGGGGGAGCCCTGTGAACTAGTGGCAGTCCCAGGGGTCCATGGGGACAGTGTCTGGGCCTGTGCCCTGCTCCTTTCTCACACTCATTCCACTCGCAGCCCTCGGCCCGGCGTGGAGTGCCCCCCCACCCCGTGGACACAGCTGGGAGGAACTGAGCTTCCCACCTGCCTCCGTGCCCCTGGGGTGCCCTTTGTTCTCAGGCCCTGGCCGACCCACCCGCCCCTGCCCTGCCAGCCAGGTACACTCACTGGAAGCAGCTCCTGGCTGAGGCGGTGCCCCGCAGGTACTGTCGCAGGGCGTCCAGGAAGTCGCTCAGCTGCTCTGGGCACACGGCCATCTCCTGCCGGACCAGCTGCAGGTGCTGGCGGGAGGAGCGCAGTAAGCAGGGCCCGAGGGCCCCTCCAGCTCCCTGCCAGGCCTCCCCCGATGACCTCAGTCAGCCCCCCAGGACCTCCCTTCTGAGGGGACAGGGCATTGGGTCAAGATGAAACCAGCCCCGAACCCCCGCCAACACACACACTTTTCATTCTTACATGTGAAAGCTGGCTTTAAAAAGGACTTGAACTTAAAAAGACCGAATGCAGAACACAGTCCCACAAAGAGCGGGACCCACACGAGTGTGGTTGGTGGCCCTGCAGTGCCCTCAGCAGCCTGTGGGGGACCTGGAGAGCTGCTGCAGAGCCAGCGGCCGGCATTTCGCTCGGAGGAACGTTCCCAACATCCCTATCCTGCTAGCCGCAGCCGCAGCGTCCCAGGCCAGTCCCTAGACCCTCAGAGAACGCCCCGGGGAAGGGGGCTTGGTCCCTGGGTCAGAGCGGGGTTGGGGGCCAAGTGCTGGGTGCGTCTCCCTTCATGGGGGTCCTGCCCAGGGAGGGGGCAGTCAGCGAGCCACAGGGTCTCGGGGACGGGCCTCACCATATTGGTGCCTTCGTCGTCTGAGAGGCGTTGCTGCAGGTCAAACCAGAGGGTCTGAAACAGCAAAGCAGAATGCTAGTGACGGTGGCCATCTCGGCCGGGAGGCTTTCAGGACTCCCCAAATGACATCGGACCACTTAGGGCCACTGCAGAGCTCCTGCCCCTGTCCCCAGATGCCAGGGTCTCTGAAATCCCCTGACTGATGGGCACTCTCAGGGGCCAGGCTGGCCAAACAGCTGGCTTGGAGGGGACACCAGGGGCCAGGGCTGGAAGACCAACTGGAGAAAGCGGCAGAGAATCCCTTTCAGCCCTGGTGTCCTGGGGCGTGGGGATTCAGAGGCTAAGCTGACCCACCACGCAAGGCAGAGGCGACTCCCACATTCTAGGGTGGGAAGTCCTGTGACAGGCCCAGATAGCAGGTCACAGTTTTTGGCAGCTGCTAGAACTAGCCCCGAGACTCCCCATCAACTGCCAACCTTCCCCAGATCCTAGCCCCTGGCGCCACAGGAATGCAACAGTCCTTGAGGGTGGGCTGTTCTCCCGCCTTCCCCGGGCCCACGCTGCGTGGTTTACAGACACGTCGACTTCCCAGAGCCTCCTGTGGTAGTGCCGCCCACCGAAGGTTCCTTGAGGACAGGATAGCAGGAGTCACGCGGGCTCCGTCCACCACCTGCACCTGGCCGAGCACTCCAGAGCTCAGGGGTCACCATGTCACAGCAGAGAACCCTGGTCCCTGCTCTCAGGCCACGAATGATGGCTACGTGTCAGGACCTGGGTTTGAACCCACTGTCTCCCCACAGAAGCATAACTCTCCTTCCTTCAATTCGGGTACCCCACTAACCGCCGCCTGTCCCCACCCTGTCCCCCCTCCACGAGGACAGCACGTGTCTCGGGATCACACACTTGTGTACGCGTGGCTGGTGCTAAGGAACACGGAGTGGCGGTGGGCAGGCCTGTGCCCTGTGCAGTCCCCACCCTGAAATCCACAGCATGAATAAGGGACACGTGTGTCCACTCTGCCCCGGGCCCTGCAGTGGCTGATCCAGGAGAGGGTGCTGACTTTTGGGGGGCACGGGGCATGAGCGCACGGTGCCCTGCAGGAGGTAGCGAGCGGGGAGAGGAAAGGCTGTCTCCATTGTTCTTTCTCCCAGCCGGTGTGGCAAGAGCAGTGACTGGTCCTGAGCCTTGGGCTTCCTCCGTGGACAGGGCCGTGGGGACTTGAGGGGAGGCAAGGGGAACCCCTATCTGCCCCGGGGCCTCCATCCTTTCAGCCCAGGCAGGGCAAGAGGCAGCCCCGGCTGGCTAGGGAAGGCGGGGCCCAGAGCCAGGCTGGGATTGGCTCCTGCGTGCAACCTGGTCCAATCAGAGACCAGGGAGGAGGGCCCCACCGGTGGCCAGGACGCCCAGGTGCTCCGCGGTTACCAGCCAGCTTGGTTGTTAGGGCGACCAGGGCGCTAAAAATAAGCTTCAAAGAGCCTCCCTCCGGAGGCTGCCCACTGAGTTGTTATGACAACGGGGCACAAGGTCCCACGGAGCCACTCCCACTGGGGAGGCGGCTTTGAGGGGGTGAGCCCACCTAGCCTCAGCCACGGGAGGAACGCCTGCCTCCCCACTCAGACTTCCCCAGTCACCTCTGCCCCCCTCACTGTGAGAACCCCTTATTCCGGCCCTCCTGAGGAGCCCCAAACCAGGGAAACACTAGTGCCCTTTTCTAAAGATGTAAAAAGAAGGAAAACTACAGAGAAGCAGAGTTCTAAGAGCCCTCAGCCCGGTCTCCGACGTGCCAGGCCAGTTAGGGGGTGAGGCAGGTGGGCTGTGCTTGGGGACCGGCTCTGCACTGTGCCAGACACGGGGTTACTCAGTCCTACCGTCTTGACCACCTGCCGTCAGAGGAGAAATCCGAGGCTCAGAGGGGAGCATCTGACCCCAGACCACACAGTTACTTAGGGCTGCCACCAAGACACGAATGCGGTTGGAGAGGGAGAGCGGCCGGTCCATCCCTAAGGCTGACGGCAAACTGACTCCTCAGCAGCGGGTCACATCCCGAGGCCCGCTGGTCAGGACACATTCTGGGCAATGCAGCTCTGCGCCGGTCCCCCATCAGCAGCCGACGTGCCGTACCTTTCCAGGGGTTTTCCAGCCATTCCATCTCCGACCCCTCCTGGGTCATCACCCTGCTCACTCACCGCCTGGCTCTTCCTGCCTATCACTGCTCAGGCCACCCCGCCTTAGAGCAAAGCCTCCTTTGAAGCCACGTCCCCTTGCGGCTGGGCACTCAGTGGGTTACTCCTGGCCCGGGAGCTGCCCCTCCGACAGCCTGTCTCTTCCGGGTGTCTGTCTTTGGACCCGCAGAGCCGCTCGCTGTCTAGGCCCAGCTTTGGTCCAGGCCCCTCTCCAGGGCTCCCTGACCCCTCTGCAGCCCTGGCTTTGTTTGAACCCCGGGTCTACCTCTGTCCTCCTGGGGCTCCCAAGAAGGGGTCAGGGTGTGGTGTGGCCAGGGCTTACCTTGTTCTCCAGCCTCCCGATCAGCTGTGCTAACCGGCTGATCTGGGCTTCCAGGCCCTCCTCCTTCGGGTCCACAGTGGCTGGGCAAGAGAAACAGACGCTGAAGGTGGGCACAGGCCTGGGGTGGGGGAGCACCCCGTCCCGCAGGCCAGGCCCCATCTGGGCTCTCAGAATTCCTCAGGCCCCTCAGCCAGTGCCCACGCGGGCCACTGCTCTCACCAGATGGAGGGCTCTTCCCTCGGTCCGTGGCCACGAGCTTGTGGCTGGGGGCGTAGGGGGGCGTGGGGCTTCCGTGCCAGCTCTCTGTTGCACCGTGGCCGGGTTTGCTGTGGTTCTGGCTGCAGTGTGGGGAAACACAGACGAGACGGCTGCTGGGCCTGGACCATGGGTAGCGGGCACTGAGCGCCAGCTGCGAGCTGAGGCACACGGACACCCAGTGGGCCTGCTGTGTGCCGTGGGCATCGTGGCCTTCCTGGTGAGGGGACGCACCAAGGCCCTGGGACTACCTGGGCAGGGCTGGCACAGAGCTGGGACTGCAGCTCAAGTCCCGCTCTAGGTTCCCACAGGCCAGCCCTGGGCCAGAGACGCAGTTGGGCCAAGGCTGAGCCAGGACTCACCCTGCCCTGAGCTCACGGCCTCCCTGGGGACTTGCCCTGGAGATACCAAGTCCCCTCAGCCTGCCTCACTGGGAACTGCTGTGGTGCTCAGTGCCCTCTGGGCTGGGCGCCCTGGGTGAGTACCAGTGAGGACCCCACAACACACACACACACACACACACACACACACACACACACACAGACACACACACACACACACACAGAAACACCACACAGAAACACACAGATACACACGACACACAGAAACAAACACACACACACAGAAACACACACACACACACCAAAACACACAGACACAGAAACAAACACACACACATACACAGAAACACACACACACACACACAGAAACACACAGACACACACAGAAACAAACACACAAACACACAGACACACAGAAACAAACACACACACACAGAAACACACACACACACAGAAACACACAGATACACACAGAAACACACACACACACACACACAGAAACACACTCACCCAGACAGAAACAAACACACACACAGAAACAAACACACACATACACAAATGTACACAAACAGACCCACACATAAACACACACACATAAATATATATACACACACACACACACAGGAGCCTTAAGAGTGAGAATATAACAGGACAGAGAATGCGCTCAGGACAGGGGAGTGTAAACAGGGAGTGGTCTGCGATGCTGGCAGAGTCAGCCAGAAGCTGGGAAGTGGGGGCTGAGCTATCTGTACCAGGCCCCATGTGGCAGCCATACCCCCCTGGGCAGTGTCTCCCTCAGTTCTCACGATGACCAAGAAGTTAGGTATGTAACTGTCCCCAGGTTACAGCTGGAGACGCGGAGGCACAGGGAGGTGCAGCAACTTGCCAAGGGTCACCCAGCTCCTAAATATGCAGCTGTTCACCACCACCACCCCCACCAGCAGCTGGCCCGCACATGCACAAATCCCCACCCTGTGACCCCCTTGACCTCGCAGGGCCCATCCACCCACCGGATCTGGCTGGTCTGCTCCTCAATGGCCTCTACTGCACTCTCCACGGAGCTCAGCAGAGACTGGATCTGATTGGCTGTCTCCTTCAGGAGGAAGCGGGTCACAAACTGGTCCACATTGCTCCCGCCCTCATACACCTGTGGAGGGAAGGGAAGGGGCACTGAGGAGTAAGGAGCTGGGGCACCTGGCGGTGGTATCTTGCTTTACAGGGTGAGGGTGGTGCACTCTACTGCTCCCTGCATCTTGGAGGCTAGAGAGGCTCCAGAGTAACCTCCAAGACAGGTTCTGGGTCAGATGCAGCTCCCGTGATGCCGTGCTTCTCCCTACACCAACACCCCAAAGTGAACCCCAGCTAGCTCCTGTGACTCTTCTGGGAATATGGGCCCATGGTGGTAGGTTTTACAAGATTGTGGTGAGGAGTACATGACAGAGGGATCTCACATGTTCAGCAGAGTGTCTGTCCCACAGCAAATACTCAATAGTAGCTGCTCTGACGGTGTGAGGATAATGGTGGTGATGGTAATGGTGACGGGGATGGGGAGGACATTGGAGGTGACAGTGATGGTGATGGAGGTGGAGGTGATGATGATGTTGGAGGTGGTGGTGATGGTGTTGGAGGTGGAGGCAGTGATGGTGGTGAAGATGGTGTTAGAGGTGGTGGTGGTGTTAGAGATGGTAGTGTTGAGGTGGAGGCAGTAGTGGTGAGGGTGGTGGTAGTGTTGGAGGTGGTGATAATAGTGGAGGTGAAGGTAGTGGTGATGTTGGAGGTAGTGGTGGTGGTAGTGTTAGAGGTCGCAGTGGTGAAGGTAGTTGTGGTGGAGGTGGCGGTGGTGGAGGTGGTGGTGGTGTTGGAGGTGGCAGTGTAGAGGTGGTGGTGTTGGGGGTGGTGATGGTGGTGATGTTGGAGCTGGAAGTGGTGGTATTGGAGGTGGCTGTGTTGGAGGTGGTAGTGGTGTTGGAGGTGGTGGTAGAGGTTGTGGTGTTGAGGGTACTGGAGGTAGAAGTGGCTGTGTTGGAGGTGGTAGTGGTGTTGGAGGTGGTGGTAGAGGTTGTGGTGTTGAGGGTGTTGGAGGTAGAGGTGGTGGTGTTGGAGGTGGCTGTGGTGGAGGTGTTGGAGGCGGCGGTGTTGGAGGTGGTAGTGGTGTTGGAGGTGGTGGTGGTGGAGGTGGTAGAGGTTGTGGTGTTGAGGGTGTTGGAGGTAGAGGTGGTGGTGTTGGAGGTGGCTGTGGTGGAGGTGGTGGAGGTGGTGGTGTTGGAGGTGGAGGTGATGGTGTTGGAGGTGGCTGTGGTGGAGGTGGTGGAGGTGGTGGTGTTGGAGGTGGAGGTGATGGTGTTGGAGGTGGCTGTGGTGGAGGTGGTGGAGG